TAATTTATGGATGTTGTCAAAAAAATCGGAATAATATATCAAGGAATTTTCAAATTAATCTACAAAAATGTAAAATTATATTAAAATTAATAAAACAATAATATAAAATTATATTATATTACCACCACTGGCTCTGCACCCATTTACCTAAATTCATTACTTCAGAGTTATGTGCCCTCGAGAAGCTTGCGTTCTGCAAGTGAACGGCGTATTATTGTGCCATCTCAAAGAGGCACAAAATCACTTTCACAGACTTTTTCATTAACTGTTCCCTCCTGGTGGAATGACCTGCCCAAGTCCTTAGCCATCTTCAAGAAACGACTAAAAACACATCTGTTCCACCTTTATTTGACCCTCTAACTCTAGCACATTCTATTCTATTTTAATTCTATTTTATCTATATTTATCTTCTTTTTTATTTTTTATTTAAAAAAAACAACAAAAAACAAACAAACACTAGCTTTTTTCTATTCTATCTACTTGTTTTTCTTTGTGTGTATGTGTGTGTGTGTGTATATATATGTATATATGTGTGTGTGTATATGTTTTTGTTTGTATGTATGTATGTGCAAAAAAAGGTGCAAATGATACCTAATGTATCAATTAATAAGACTAAGTTTGAATACGTGCACGTCTCATCTGTCTGAAAGAGAGGTTTGATGCAATCTGAAGGTTCAAGTTGATCTTTGCTGAAGTTGGTTGATGAAAAAGAAACAGTTTGAGTCAGAGAATCTTGGTGAATGGAAAAGTCGAGGCCGAAGCCTGGCACGAACTTAGGGTGTCCTTGAGCGTTTGCTCACATCTTCATCTTCTCAGAATTCAACCAAACCACCGACTCTGGGGCGGGTCACTGATGTGAGGCCTTTAAAGTCTGAGAAGATTCACGCCTCTCAAGATGGGCTTGTCCAATGAGGAAGTCCGGAATCTCAAGTGGGAGTTCTGAGATACTGGGGCATTTTTATGGCCCTTTGTTTGAAAGCATGGTAATTTGCATATGAAGCTTGTATAAAAATTATTAA